CCTCTAGAGGGCTATTGTTGTGCCTTTTTGACCGTTCTCTCAGTGACTCCCTATCTTGTTGTAGTCTGTGTGTTGTATGGCATAAACACCTAAGCCTTTTGGCGAGACACAGGCGAATGATGATGATAGTTTAATTACTTTGGTGAAGTTGCAACAAATTGTCATAATTTGTCAGATTTACTTTCACAGAGATAGTTGAACATACTGTAGCAGAAAGGGGGAAAAGACAGGGAAAACGAGTGTGATTACTACAGTTTTTTCCCTTAGATAAGTGTTACATTAATGTTAAGGACATCAATGTATCAACGTCAAAGCTATACGTTTTAGTACATGTTTGTAATTAAGGTGAAGGGATTTAGCCATTTCCTCAATCTTTTTCTGTTCTTCCTTTGCCACTGCAGCCTGAAGGCGAAACACCCAGTCACGTGAGCAGTCAATGTTTAGATGCCAGTCCAAGAGAGAAAACAGATCCCAGATATCACGTTCAAAAGGATAATACTGTCCAAATCCATTCATTTCCTTGTGAGATGTAGTTTTTCGTTATTTGAAACTTTCATTATTGTCCCGTTTCATAAAAGTATTGGAATAAGCTCGAGAATATTACATACACTTATATTAAAGTATATGTTATAAAGGAATTTTTACAGTAGCATGCGCGCCTCCCCCCCCCCCCCCCCCCAGTGCAGTTGTTTTCCATATTTTTTTCTTGGCAAAAATGGTTCAGGTTTTCAAAGTACCATTGCCAAGCGAGCAATTAACCCTTTTACCCGGCGACCTAAGGAGACACAATAGATGCAGGTGGGGATGGAGGTGGAGAGGGGGGGGGGGGGGGAAGTGGGTAAAGTTGAGCTGATTTAATTAGGATGTCCAGTTTTCAGTTCAAAATATTAGTGGAATGTCCAGTTTTCAGTTCAAAATTTTTGTGGAATGTCCAGTTTTCAGTTCAAAATTTTAGTGGAATGTCCAGTTTTCAGTTCAAAATTTTAGTGGAATGTCCAGTTTTCAAGTCAAGAAAAAAGTCCGCCTCATGAACATGAGGTAGGTTTGCACACGAGACACCGTCAGTCTTGAATCTGGGCATCACTGCTTCATTAGGATCCAAGTAGCCGTAGCCGTAGCCGTAGCAAAAAAGAAATACACAAAAGCTATATTATATTTTGCAGATTATATTTTTGTCTAATCTTGAAGTAATATTACCATATAGAAAACAGAACATTGTTACTCTGTGCTATATGCTGTCACACAAAGCCTTAGCCGTTACTTTTATGTAATCCTCCATTTAGTAATTACACGCCTACCCTCCCAATCCCCAACTCCTTATCTCCCTCGCTCTACTAATATGGAAACACTCTTGTGCAAGTTCCATTAATCCAGGATTACTTCAGTTCACATTTTTCAAATACTATGATTAGCCAAGGATGACATCATTTTGAAATTGCGTGAAATATTTGTTATTTGCCCAATATTCACACACGAATGGATAAGCGGCTCATGCTTTTGATTAGAGATACTCAGTCCATTATACAAACACGGGATGTATTTGATTCCCCTTTCATTATTGCACGTCCTATTCTTCTGCGTCCATAAGCTTGCCATTTACTTTTACTTTGTACTGTCCAAAATATTAAAGTACGGATATCAGAAAATTTCAATTGAACTGCGATTACTTTGTTCGTTGAACGAAAGCAATCAAATGGTTTGCTTTGTGATGGAAGATCGTATTTCAGATAACGAATACATCATTTGGTGAAGCAACCGGAGCCCCAAACATTGGGCCCCAGCCAAAAATAGACATTCTCTTTTAAAGTGTTTGTTTATATATTAAGTGTAATCTAAAGGTTCCAGTAACGTTTTCCGCCCCAAACACACCGTGACTGGACGTTCATTCACGTTTCGATATTTTTCACAAGCGCTAGTCTTAGTTACAAGGGTGAGACCGAGACGTTGAGTTGTGTTCGATCTTCTCAGCCGCGTATATTGCGAGTCATGTACTAGTTTGTGTGAGCGGCTGGTAAGACTGTGTATATTACAGCTTTGCCGGACTTCAAATAGAGCATAAATCTACTTCAGCTATGATCATTGAGGAGCGACAAGGAAAGCAGCGTTGCTTTTCGGCAGCAAGACGGCTTTTTAGGGCCCGAAGCAAAGTATAGCAATTCTAAAGACACGGGACGTAGGCTGCACTATCTCTTGAGGCGTAGGCTGAGGCTGTAGGGTGGGGTGGGGTGGGGGAGGGGTGTTTGGGGTTAGGGCCAGTCCTAGATGTTGTGAGGTCGTTAAAAGTGGCCATATCGTCTAATATAGGAGTAATGTATAGGAGCTCGTGGGCCAAAACGATTTGTCGACGAGAGGTTACTTCTACTGATGATTGGTAGACTCCTGCTGTACATGCTCCCGTGTGGAGTTTCTTCTTATAGAACACTGGATATCGCCGGTGATAGCATTGAAGAGAACACAGCGTGACTTAGCTGTAACTTTAGGGTGAAAAACGATAGAAGGACCAATCTAAAATATATTTTTCTATTTGTTTATTATTAGGCAAATTATTATTAGACTTTTAAACTAGCACTAGGTTCTTCGAGTCTCCAGTTTTCATTAGTCAAGAAAAAAATATATTGTGTGTGTGTGTGTGGGGAGAGGGGGGTGGGGTGTTTACACCTCCTACATCTTTTTTGTGTCGGCATGCCCGGAGGCGATATATGTGGGTTTTAAAATATAATAATTTTATAATGGGAACTTAAATTTAAACTGTTTTTGCATTGTTTTCTTATCTATCTAAAAAATCATAATTTTTCTGTAAGCTAATTACACTTACCCCCCCCCCCCCTGCCCCTTTTTCCTCCAGCTCCCACACTATTTGTATTGTTGGGAGAACTTTCCATGTAGATCCCGTACCCCCGTCTCCCGCCCTCTTTTTCCACCAATCACGTCGTAACAGGCGACTAATTATGGGTTTACTAAAATTGGATGTGTTAGAATGAAAGGCTCACATATCACAGCATATCTGTAAACTGCAACCACAATGTGGCAACCGTTCACGTAAACGAGGAAGAAGTTGGGAAACTATATTTTAAGACCCTTTCATCACTGGCTAAAACTTATTAGTCTTAGCGAAGTCTTACAAACAACAACAACAACAACAACTGCTCCAGAAACTGAACAGCGTGTGCAACAGCAACAAGAATGGAAACAGTATCGTTGTATTGTTAGATGAACTCCGACTTCAAAAAGCTTCCCAACTTGTCGACTCTTTGTGGTGTTTAAAATGCAGTATCTATTCTTATTGTCCCAGCATGGGGCCCGGAGTGTCACACATAGTTCCCCGGGGGGAGTTGGGAAACTATATTTTAAGACCCTTTCATCACTGGCTAAAACTTATTAGTCTTAGCGAAGTCTTACAAACAACAACAACAACAACAACAACCATAACAACAACAATAACAACAGCAACAAGAATGGAAACATTATCGTGTAAGTGTATTGATAAATTTGCAACTTGTTGAATTTTGTGGGTGTTCAAATGCAGTACAGATATTGACAGCAGTGAAATGTCACATAGTTAGATCACGTTAAGTGTCCCCTACAACTGCGCCATATTTAGTGTCACACAGACAGACAGATCAAGTGAAACGTCACAGAGCTAGATCATGTTAAGTGTCCCATACATCTGCACCATATTTTGTGACACATACAGACAGATAGATCAAGTGAAATGTCGCATAACTAGATCATGCTGTGTCACAGAGTAAGATCATAATACATCTCATATAGTTACATCATCTTAAATTTCATATACGACTAGATCAAGCCAAGTGTCACAGATAGGTAGATCAAGTGAAGTGTCACAGAATGAGATCAAGTTAAGTGCTACAAAATTAGATCAAGTAAAGTGTGACATACCTCGGGATCATGTTAATTGTCACAGACTAGATCTTGTTAAGTGTCATAGTTAGTTAGACCACATTAAGTGTCACAGACATATCATGTTAAGTGTCACACATAGCTGCATCATGTTTAGTATCACAAAAAGATCATGTTATGTTTCAGACAAACCATGTTAGGTGCCACAAATAGATAATGTTTAGTGTCACAAATAAATCATGATATGTGTCATGAATAGTCTTTTAAAATGTCACAAAAAGATCTTATTAGGTGACCCAGACTAGATCTTATCAAGTGTCACAGACTAGATCATGTTAAGTGTCACAGATAGGCCATGTTAAGTAACAGTTAAAGCTAGATCATGTTTAATGTTACAGAAAGATCATGTTTAGAATTGCAGATAGATAATGTTATGTGTCATAGACATATCATGTTGAGTGTCATGGGCAGATCATATTAGGTGTCACAGACAGAACCATGTTAAGTGTCACAGACAAATCGTTTTAAGTGTCCAGTACATATCATATTAAGTGTCACAAATAGATCCTGTTATGTGTGACAGACAGATCATGTTAACTTTCTCAGAAAGTTCGTGTTATGTGTCATAAAAAGAACATGTTAAGTGTCACAAATACATCATGTTAAGTGTCACAAACAGATCATTTCAAATGTCACCAGTAGATCATGTTGAGTGTCACAGTTGGATCATGTTAAGTGCCACAGATAGATCATGTTGAGTATCACTGATAGATCATGTGTAAGTTACACACACAGATCATATTAAGTGTCACAGATCAATCATGTTAAATGTCACTGACAGATGATGTAGAGTGTTACCTGCAGACAATGTTATGTGTGACAAGTCAGCTGGATTACGTTAGGTGTCACTAACAGATCATGTTAAGTGTCACAGATAGATCATTTTAAGTGTCACATATCTCTAGATTCCTAGACAGCAGGATAATGTTTAGTGTCACATCACAGAGAGCTTTAACACGTTGTGTGTCACAGATAGACCATGTTAAGTGTCACAAATCTCTAGACCATGTAGAGTCCAAGATGACAGAGTAATGTTCAGTTTCACAGACTGCTGTTAAGTGTCAACAAACAAAATTAGATCATGTTAAAGACGGTTTCGCAAAATATTGAGAGTGTAAGGCAAGAACTGGCTTCCGTAGCGGAACTTCATTGTTGTCATCATTATGCTCATTTACTGGGGTCGTCTCCTTGTCAGCGGTCCTGCGTGAGTTCGAGGCTTCTTTAAGCAGATCAGGGCCAACTATAACTCCAGGAAATGTGGGGTTCGTCTGCAGAGATGTCGGTGTGAGTCTTTTAGGGTGGACACGCAGGAGCGGGTTGCTGCTTGGTTGGCAGCCAGAACAGAAGTAACTACTGGGGATGTCTGAAAGAAAAGTTGGTGCTGGGGAGGCGTGTGTGGTGTAGGGGAAATGGCTTAGATGTCCCGGACCTTGTCCTAGATGTGTCTGTAATGTGCTTGGTCTTCGCCTGTCGTTAAAGTTGGATGTGTTGTCCCTAGGAAACATGTTGTATTCAGAGTTTCTGTTGCTGAAGGAAAGTGACTGACCCTCTGTTTGCTGAGAATCGTCATCGTTGGCGTTATCAGAATACTTCTGCTTGAACTGCTCTGTGTTTAACCGGAAAGTTTGAAAATCTGCGGTTGTTGGACTAAAACCACCTTGACCTTGGTCTATAGTAGAAGAATTCATTGGCGGGCTTTTAAAAATCGTCTGGTTGTGAGATAAAAGACAGGAATGGTTGCTACCAGAAACGGTGAATGCGAAACAGCTGCCTTCTTCTGGAACATTCCTGGTTTCAAAAGTCTTCATGGAATTGTTTTCGTAATTACCAACCAAGGCACAGTTGTGTTCTAACTCAAAATACCTTGGTAAGGTAGATTTGGAATTGTTTCTTTGCCTGTCGTGCCCATTGAAACCGGTCTCTGCAGTTGTTTTCTCATGTCTGTTGTCATCGAAAGGCCGTGGGCGGATCTGAACTGTACTGATTTCTGAAGAAGCTACACAAGGCCCCCAACTCTGATTGAAGTCACCAGACTCTGGTGTCGCCGGAGACAAACATCCTGAGGCATTTCTGGTGCTAGTTATGGTTCCTTGGAAAACTTCTTCCTCTTCGTCGTCATCGATGGTCTCGTAAACGGCGGAGTAACCGCGAGAGTAGTAGAGATCAGGAGGGCTTAGTTTCATCAACGGATGACACGATGAACAGTTGGGACAGTTCCATTTGGAGTTACATGATGGATGGCAGGATAATGGAGGATGTGGAAGGCCCCGGTGTCGGAATGGCGGATATACTAGGTCATCACCTCCTTGTATCTGGAGAGGCAAAGCAATTAATAATAAAATCACGCAAATATCAAACAGGTTTATTTTGGCAACAATGTGGGCAAAAGCTGCTAACTGCTACTTTTGTTATCACTTTGGGGGAAAGGGGGGGGGGGTGTAGTCTGTGGCTTCTTTGTCCATTATTGTTGATTATATAATCGAGGGGAACTGGCTCACAAACAGCATCATGTCCCGAAAGCTGAGGTATTTCGGTCATGTTTAACATCATGGTGACTTGGAGAGAACGGTGATAGAGGGTACAGTTTCCCAGAAAATGAGGCAGAGGCAGACTCCGATGAAAGTGGACACAAGACACAGAAGATGTATTGGCTATGAAAGCCCATATAGCTGGAGATTAGGCTATAGAAAAAGAGACTTTCAGGTGTGACGTGGTTGGTGGGCACAATATAAACAATTTACGTTATGCTGATGACACAGTCTTGATAGCAACAAGTCAGAAAGAACTACAGGAAATGATAGACATTGTGGTGTTAGAAAGTGGAAGAATGGGTCTCAGTTTAAATAAGGGGAAGACAGAAGTAATGGTGGTTTAAAAAAAAACGAATTATTCCTAAGTGTGTAATAAAAGTTGATGGTGTTATTTTAGGACATCTGGGCACATGGATAACATCAGATGTAAGATGCATAACTGAAATAAGAAACAGAATAGGACAGGTAAAAACTGCATTTTATAAAATGAAAAACTTCTTGTGCAATATATACTTGTCATTGAGAGTTAGAAAAATAATTCTTGCTTGCTTCATACATCCAGTTTTAACATATGGCTGTGAATCCTGGACAATCGGTAGGCAGGTCAAACAATTTCCCGAGGCCTCGGAGATGTGGTTTTACAGAAGAATGCTTAGAATACCTTGCACAGCCAAAAAGAGCAACCAAGAGGTTTTGAAAGAGGTGGGAGCCCGAAGACAACTTATCACAGACATCAGAAGGAGACAGTCATCATTTTTCAGCCATGTCATGAGAAGAGGAAAAAAAGAACATGTTGTGACCACTGGAAAGATATGTGGAAGGAGAGATAGAGGAAGACAACGAGAGAAGATGCTTGACAGTCTTGTTGCATGGCATGGAGGTGTGTCGGCACACGAACTGATACATGCTGCAGGAGATCGCAGATTATGGAGAGGCATGATCGGCAAAGACACATGATGATGATGGGGTCAGGTACATGAACCCCCCCCCCCCATCCCACCCTCTGTCAATAATTGTATAGACGCTGTTGACCCCCTTCTCATAGCACCCCTCCGTAAATTTGTAAGCAAGCTAATGGCCCCTAACCATGCGTAGCCCACCCCTTTGTGAATATTTGTTATATAATTTATATCATTTTAAATAAATTATTATATTTTTGTCATTTAAATTTAAAATTAATGTTAATCATTATTATGATTAATATTATTGCGCACTTGAACAAGGCTTAAGCCTCTTGAGTACCTGCCCTTAGAAAATAATTGTGCATGTTTATTCATCGCTGTTCTACCTTAACCCGCCACCATAAGGAGATTATTGTTGAAATCATTTACTTGTTGACCAAACTGTCCAACAGAAACATGACAACCAACAGCAGATTGAAGAGCGCCTACTTCAAGGTTAGAGAACTCTGCACAATTGAAGGCGTCACTGGTGGAAGTGCTCAGCTGCAACTGTTGTCTCGAGGGTCGCGCCGCAGCCATCTTGTTTTTGACGCGGTGCCTGCAAAGTTAAATTGAAAATAGAAAATTAGCTCTTCTAAAAACTACACACCGCTAGAAGTGCCATTACAGTTGGCTACATTAAAATTTAGCCAGGAACTTGAGTTGGAAAATGCTAAGATTGATTTTTTTTTAAAGATTTGCCGGTCTGAAATTAACATAGGACTGTTTGATGTGGCATGGGTCCTGATTCTTCTTCTTCTTCTTCTTCTTCTTCTTCTTCTTCTTCTTCTTCTTCTTCTTCTTCTTCTTCTTCTTCTTCCTTCTCCTTCTTCTTCTTCTTCTTCTTCTTCTTCTTCTTCTTCTTCTTCTTCTTCTTCTTCTTCTTCTCCTCCTTCTCCTTTTCCCGCCCCTTCTTCTCCGTCTGCTTTTCCTTCTCTTGTATAAAGGTACAGACAAACATAGCGAGACAGAACAAACAATGCAAAGACACACTGAGAGAGAAACATAAAGATAGATAGAGAGATAGATAGAGACAGAAGACAGAAAGACAAAGACAAGAGAAATGAGAATATATTTTTAAAAGGACACATGAGAAAGAACATAAACACAGATAGTGCAACAGAAAAATAAATAAAGAAAGAAAGAAAGAAAGAAAGAAAGAAAGAAAGAAAGAAAGAAAGAAAGAAAGAAAGAAAGAAAGAAAGAAAGAAAGAAAGAAAGAAAGAAAGAAAGAAAAAAGAAAGTCTATATCTATCAGGTCATCAATCAGTCGGGGGTCAGCAACATTTAGTTAATTCATGGCCACGCGCGGTCTAAAATGATGAGGTATTCAGTGCCTTTACACGCGTCAACAATGGAACTTGTCTGTGTGTGTGTGTTATCTATCTCTATACACACATACACAGACAGACAGACAGACAGACAGACAGACAGACAGACAGACAGACAGACAGACAGACAGACAGACAGACAGACAGACAGACAGACAGACAGACAGACAGACAGACAGACAGACAGACAGACAGACAGACAGACAGACAGACAGACAGACAGACAGACAGACAGACAGACAGACAGACAGACAGACAGACAGACAGATAGATAGATAGATAGATAGATAGATAGATAGATAGATAGATAGATAGATAGATAGATAGATAGATAGATAGATAGATAGATAGATAGATAGATAGATAGATAGATAGATAGATAGATAGATAGATAGATAGATAGATAGATAGACTAAAATGGTCTCAGGAAATTAGAGGCAAGGGCACGCTCTGGAAAAATGGCAATGATGACTATGATGGTAACAGTGATGAAGATGATGATGATGGTAATCATGTTATTCATGATCATAAGGGTGATAGTAATTTTGAAGATGTGTAACAAATCAATGTAACAGAAAACTGTCCAACTTACCTGGTTACACAGATAACTATGGCGACCATAAACACAACGACCACAAACAGCACCGCACAACCAAACGACAACTGGCACGTGGCATCACACCACGGGTGGTGAGACGCCCCTGGGCCGCTCACAGACGAGCCGGGGTCTGCACCCTTTGTCGGACGGAGATCAAAGCCAGAACCAAGGTCATTCGGTTCAAGGTTGAAAGCAGTATCCGAACCGGAAAGGATGTGCCGAATGTCACACTTGCCAGCTAGGAATGATTGTAGCGTCCTGCTCACGTGCGGGTCGAGGCGCGAGGCGTTGACCTCAATTAGCAAGCGCGGCTTCCATGGCGGTGGGCAGGGGAACGATGACCAGAAGTCCTGGATGTCTGTCTCTAGGTCCCTCATGACACCTTCTGTTGGTGTCAGGGAGAGTGGGGGTAGTGATGGCGTCGAAAGTGTTTGTAATGAGAGCGTCGAGGAGGACATTGCGGCGATGGACAGTCCTCAGTTTGTTGTAGAAGAGAGATGTTGCTGCCTCCCAGGGTTCCATCCAGCGTGTCAGGAAACACAAGGGTCACATGGCTGAAAACATAGAGAAATATCATGTTAGGAACTAAAGTAAGGACCTTTCTCATGCATACTAGGCACATAGGGCTAAATCTATATTTTACAGTCCAATCGGCACTTGGCGGGTAATGAAGTCAGCATCAAGCTGGTCGTCTTTACTTCCCAGGATTACACCAAGTACCCACTCAAGGCTGGGTCGACCTGGGAGCCGAGGTCATTGTCGGGGGGAAAAGAAAAGTCAGGCTCAATCATGACTCCAACCCACGACCTTCCGATCCATAGGAAAACGTCTAGTCACAAAATCACGGCGACTCCTCTATATTAGGATGTCATATAGTCAAATACAGATATTCTCACCAAACTGAGAGGAACAACAAAATTGCTGGAAGCAGTACGTATACAAGAAACAAGTGAAATATTTCGTCCACATTACAAGACATAACACTCATCTGAAACCACATTACAGGAAAAAAGACAAGAGTACAGTAAGATGTAGACAGCGGTACAAGTGGGAGGACAAATCAAGAGATAAACGAACAGGCATCAGTTTTAGAGAGTGAAAAATTAAGATGAGAGATAAATAGCGTTCCAGGTCCAGGTCTATTACAGCTAACCTTGCTTGTGAAGACGGCACATCATTAAATGATATTAAGGTGTGTGGTCACCAACATTGTTAATTTGTCATTTTACAGATACTGGGTGCCTACACGAGCATTATGATAGGTTAGCTGCGTATCCTTTACAGGACGTTGCAGAACCAACAAGCCCCTGGCTGTTGCGTGGTTTTTCTAGGCAAATTTACGTCCAGTAGTTTGCCATTGTTTCTGGACGGTCGGCTTTCTTGATAGCACTGTCGAAACCAACGCAAGGCCCATGGCCCGCAGCTGGGATCAAACCCGGCATCCCGGCATTACGAAGCGTTCGCATCGACTAAGCCACAGAGCCGACGACCATAATGATACTCACACATACACGTAAAGTATAGGAGACTTTTTCACGCATTCAGGCGTATTGGGCATGTAGGGCTAGACCTATATTTTTATAGACCTATCGGCACTTGGTGGGTGATGTGGTCAGCGTCACGTCGGCCGCCTTTACTTCCTAGGAGTTGAGGCTGGGTCGACCTTGTGAGTCAAGGTCATTTTTGAAAACAGTCTGGCCCCATCAGGGCCTGAACCCACGACCTTCCGATAAGCAGGCGGGCGTCTAACCGTCAAACCACGGCGACTCACACTCACACATACACACACACACACATATATATATATATATATATATTTAATATGCAGAATCGGTACTATGGATATCGCAACCCTTCGGTTGGGATTCCATGATAGATACCGTAAATCTGGGAGAAATGTAACTTTTCTGCGTACCCCCGGGCGTGAACCCGGACCACAAGGAGTTCGTCACCCGGTCGTCGCGAAGTCAGGTTTAGCCAACTACGCTAGCGAGCCGGGTATATATATATATATATATATATATATATATATATATACATAATGATATACCTCCACACGGTAGATGATGGTAAACACACTGCAGTTTTGCCCATGCAGATATGAGGACCGCTTATCGACCAGGATAAGTGGACACCCTCTGTGGTGCATCACACCGCAGGGCACTAACTCCCCCTAGCAATCTGAAAGGCTGCTGCACACCAAGGACATAGTCTAAAGCCATTTGGATGTGGAAAGCAAGGGGAAACTACGACATTATTATTATAAGAAACTCATTATGAACTCATTGAATATGAAAGTTCATGAGACGGAAGAGCCATTTTACTATCCATATTTCCCCCATACTTATCTTCATATATAAGATTTTTAAAAAAATACAAATAAATCCTAGAACAGTGGTTCTCACCCTTTGGATCGCGGCCTACTTTTTTTTTTAGTCGAACGACCATTTTATAGGGGTTGCCAAAGACTATTGCAAAACAAATATTCATTGAAGTTATGAAGTAGCGACGAAACTAATTATATGGTGGGAGTCGCCACAACATGAGGACAAGGGTCGCGGTATTATGAAGGTTGAGAACCAATGTCCTAGAAGGAGGAAAAAATTAGGCCCCTCCCCCCCCCCCCCCAACCCCTCCTACGCCCGAATCCTCTCTTTGGTTGTGTATTGAAGCTGACACCAAAGGAACAGTTTGATAATTCTTTTAACAAAGCTGCACCCTGTAAAATGAACAGTGTAATTGTGTTAAAGGGCAAAAATCAACCAGTGCAGTTTTATTTGAAGCAAAGCGAACGCGCCTTCTGTCACAAAAGACAAGAAAACAAGACGATTTTGACACGACTGTAAAAACCCTGATCAGTTTTGCTGGGGTTAACATAATAGTGAATTTTTATCCAGGCAAAAAAATTATTAATTTTATCACGAACTAAAAAAATAATTATTTGCGAGCAAAGGCAATAATGTAATTTTGTTACCGTAATCAGGTTGAGGGGGTTATAGTATCGGGCTCTCATACGAGATACCCGGGTTCGAACTCCAGTGAGTTTTTTTTGTTGGGGGCTAAATAAAACCAACCTCCATTAGGGAGACAGCACAGGTTTCTATGCAGAACTTTAACGCGTATTGTTCTCTTCTTTTTGTTTGATAAGTGATAATAAATAAAGATTTTAGGAAACAAGTTACAATGCTAACCTAACCTATAAAAAGAAACAATACGTCAAACGGTTTGGACCTGTGTTAAAACCGCCACATGGCAGTGCGCCACAAGAGCCCTGTCACTAAGGCACAACGGACACAGAGCTAGACGTGGTCTCGATGTATGGTGTCCGCCTCAAGTGCTGAAGGTCCAAGATTCAAGCCTCGGTGACGGCTGGGATTTTCTTTCTCTCGCGGACTTCTAGTAATTTCCCCTGGTCTCTGTGTAGTAAGTTCGGACGCCCGTGTATCCTTGCGCACGTAAAAAGTCCATTGGCAGTTGAAAATCGAAAAAAGTGACCCAATGGCGCTGCCTGGGCAAAATTTTGAGTTTAAAATTTACCCAAAAGTATTTCAGGATCCTCGCAGGTACAGCGGAGTTCGTTCAATGCGCTGAGATTCTTCAGACTCAGGCTTGAGTTTGAAAAAAGTAGAAACGGAGCACTTATGAGTTTCACCGTGTAACATGTTAATGATCATTCCAATAAATATAATCACTTTAGGCCATGGGTATCAGCATCTACGTTAACACGCACCGCGACTCACAGCACATGCCTGCATAATCTGAGGCGGAAAGGCAAAGCAGTCTAGAGTAATTTCCTTCAACCAACGCCCCGCGGCCGAGTGGTAGGCCGTGAAAAGTCCATGCAGACAGTTAAATAATTCTTCATAATCATGTAACCTGGTAGGTTAGGATTGTTTTTTTGTCTTTCAGAATTGAAGTCTGTAGGATTAAAACATCGATGATGACAATCAGAAGATGTCACATCAGCGGACGCTTGTAATTATGTGACATCGGATTTGACAAATACGCTGTAATCTACACTTTTTCCTTCTTTCATTTTTTTTGTTTGTTTGGTTAGCCGTTATGTGGGCTGCGAAACAAATTTCCACCGTTTTGGTGGCTGCAGGTGTGGGGAGGGGGGGCGGGAGGGGGGGGGGGGGGTTGAAGGAGGCGAAAGAAACATGGTCTAGAGAAAATAAGAACAAGGAGAACTTCAACAGGCTGATATCTTTCTGTTAAGTAAATATCCATAAGTAAAATACAAATATCACTGAAAACAACTCTCAAATCGGGGAGTCAGTGCGAGGTTGCAATCCTCCAGTCGGGAGTCAGTGCGAGGTTGCAATCCTCCAGTCGGGAGTCAGTGCGAGGTTGCAACCCTCCAGTTGAGGAGTCAGTGCGAGGTTGCAATCCTCCAGTCGGGAGTCAGTGCGAGGTTGCAACCCCCCAGTCGGGAGTCAGTGAGAGGTTGCAACCCTCCAGTCGGGAGTCAGTGCGAGGTTGCAACCCCCCAGTCGGGAGTCAGTGAGAGGTTGCAACCCTCCAGTCGGGAGTCAGTGCGAGGTTGCAACCCTCCAGTCGGGAGTCAGTGCGAGGTTGCAATCCTCCAGTCGGGAGTCAGTGCGAGGTTGCAATCCTCCAGTCGGGAGTCAGTGCGAGGTTGCAATGCATCAAGGCGGTTGTGATTCTCTTAACAGATCTAATGGAGCTGGGCGGATGAGAGGGCGCGAATCTTCTCCCTGGTGAGTGCTTTCTCTTGTCGTAGTTCTTTTTTATCGTGGATAATGTGTGCTCGTGCTTGGAAATACATCTTCTGGGATTAAGATTGATGGACAGGGGACGGAGAAAAAAATTGACAGACGGGCATACAGAAAGAATGATAGATAAATAGTCGGTCTGTTAGACGGACAGAATGCTTATTGCTTATACAGTGGCCTGCTGTCAGAAAGTTTTGGGTTCAAATCACATTGGATACATTTGAAAAAAAAAAAAAGATTGGCTCCTAGGTCGACTTGGTACCTACCTACGTACCTACCTACGTACCTACCTACCTACCTACCTACCTACCTACCTACCTACCTACCTACCTACCTACCTACCTACCTACCTACCTACCTACCTACCTACCTACCTACCTACCTACCTACCTACCTACCTACCTACCTAACTACCTACCTACCTACCTACGTACCTACCTACCTACCTACCTACCTAGTACCTACCTACCTACCTACGTACCTACCTACCTACATACCTACGTACCTACCTACCTACCTACGTACCTACCTGCCTACCTACGTACCTGTCAAAGATCATCGATGATGGCACCTTCAAAGGCGAAAGGTTCTGCGCATTTGTCGAAGAGCTTGTGACGCGTATATGTTTCAGAAAGGTGCTGAACGGTGCATGGCTGATAATGGACAATGCTAGAATCCACAAACCAGATGATCTACGGAGAATTCGGGGCTCGACCTCTCAT